AATCAATCAATCAATCAATCAATCAATCAATTATTCAAACAATCAATCAATCAATCAATCAATCAATCAATCAATCAATCAATCAATCAATCAATCAATCAATATTTATTTATTTTTCTATTTTATTTTTATTTTTTTCTAGTTTTTTCTATTTTTTTCCACACAACAAAAACGACCCCCTCGAAAATGATTTTTTTTAACCTTTTTTTTTCAAGGGGGTGGGGCGAGGGTTCCGGAACCCCAATCCGCAACCCCGGCCCCCAACCCCCTCTCCCCTCGGCAGTTGTGGGCTGCGGCATTCCACGGTCGCCACGGTCATGACCGCAGCCTCGCGGCCGCAGCCGCGGTCCGCGGTCGTGCCTGCGGTGACCGCGGCCGCTGGGGATTCATAGAGGCCAGGCCATACGGCGGGCCACAAGAATGTCCGACTTCGTAGAGGCCCAAAGAAACTCGCCGCGGTAGTTGGGAAAGACCCACCAAACCCGCCTTTGTGGGGTCCCAGTTTGCTTTTCCGCCCCGTCCTTCCCGTTGCCTTCTTTTTAGGGAATTTCTTCTTTTTTCTCTTTTTATGTAATGCCGGATCAGCACCTAAGGCTTTAAGCAGCCTTCTCCGCATCGCCATCTTCCCATAGAAAACGGAAGAAAGAAACGGTCTGACAATGACAATCATGACGACCTCGAGAAAAAGAAAACGATTGAAATAACAAAAATGAATAATATTTGCCACGGTTGAGCGAGCTGAGACGATTCGTCTTTAGAGCAACAAGGCCGTGTGCTCCCCTGGTGCTCTTGTTGCCTTTTGGGATTCCTGACCAGAAAGAGACCAGAGACAATAGAACATATATTCCTGCAATGCTTGTCAGCAGTCCTGACTTGGCGATGGTGGGATAGGGTGTGGCAACAAATGGTCTCAGGGCATCCATGGCCGTGGGAATGGTGGGCCATCCTCATGGGGCACTACCCACCCTTTCAAGATAACATCTTTGTGACAAGCATGTTTCATCTATCACGTAGAACGATCTTGTGTATCCTGTGGTGGCAATGTTGTGTCCTTGCTTTAGACAAGGTGCGGATTGAAGGGGAAGAGAGGTTGGAGCAACTCAAAACACATTTCCAACTGGAACTCTCGCACAAGTGGAAGACCACTAAACAATCACTGGATATCCTCCATAGAGCCAGAGACATCCGTGAACGATTAGTACAGTTTTCCAAGGATTGGCTGGGCGGGGATCGGGAGGGGTGGGTAGCGGAGGTTTCCTGGACAGGAGACTGGGATGGGGATGAAGGCAGGGAGGACAGACATGGAGAGAAGGAAGTCCCAAGGGACTACCACCTCAAATTTAAGGAGTGGCTGTCGATAGACTCAGGCATCCCCATGAGACCGGCAGAGGATTTTCCAGACCCCTTCCCTCCGCACCCGGGATCTCTCGAAATACGCCTGTAACTCCCTGCCCATTGATAACCCCTTTTTTCTCCACCCTTTTTCGTCTGGCCAGTGTTTGGGCTTTGCAAGGAGAGAAGGGAGGAGGAGAGAGTTAGTGAGGAAGAGAGTGAGAGGAAAAGTTGGTGCTTAGATCGGGAGTGAGATTTTGGATGGGGACCATCTTTCCTCCCCCACCTGCTCTAGTTCAGTCCTCTTTCACCTTGTCTAACCCTTCCTGTCTGTCCTTGCCGCCTGTTTTTTCTATTTCTTAGTTCTGGTTTTGTGTTGTAATCTACTTTAGTCTGATTGTGTCATTGCAGCTGCACTCTGTTTTCTTTCGGTCAGGATGCTCTAAAAACTCGCTGCCAGAGTGGGAGTGTGACATTCGGGTAGGACCGATGGAGGTCAGTGTCGAAAGGCAGGTGTCCTGGATGGATGGCAGGAAGACGGTAGGGATAACCGCTGGTGCCCCCCAGTGGCCCCTCCCGGTACCCTGACCAGGCACGAGTTTGGGGAGGGAGACGAGGACCATCAGCTCTTGGTTCCAGGTTTCGGGTCATGCTCACACCTTCTCAGTCAATCCTCTGGTTCCCAGAGCAATCAATGCTGGCAGGCATCCTCTTGACACCATCCAGTTTTTTCTATGCATCATTCTGTATCAATTTCTGTATGGGACGCTGGACCCGTTTTCCAGCAAGTGATGCTCCCCACCAATAGATGGAGCCTCTCCCCAGGTGCTAGCAATGTCTGTGCTAAACAGCATCGCTAGCACTGGTGGGTCTGTTTTTAAAAAAAAAAAAAAAAAAAAAAAAAAGAGCTAGCTGAGACGTTTTTTTCGTCTCAACTAGCTCAACGCAAACCGTGAAGGGTAGGGGGGATTATATTTGAGAGATTGGTATTTTCTGGCCTTTTCTCAAAACGAAAATGGGCCGATTCTGACGAAAGGACAAAAATCAACCATGCTGTTCTCAGAATGCATCGCATCTCCGGCGCCTCACGGCGTCGCTCCGGGTTGAAAACCCCGTGCGGACCTGGCTCAGCGGAGCAGGTGGGACAAAGTCCCTGGTCCACAACATTATGCGCTCTAATGCTTGTTTCAGGGGGAGGGAGGAGGAATGCAAAAAAGGCGAGGTCTTCAGCCTCGGTCTCTACTCATCAGCTTCAGTCTCTTGATGAGCGGGGTAAACTCCGACGTTAAAATTGGACCCTTACAGAGAAGAGAGGAAGAAACTCGATTAATTAGGATGGCCCCTACGCAAGGATGTACGTAGTGAGTTATGAGACGTAATGACAAGCAAGTAATCACACACACATGTATGTGAGAGACGCTGGGCCCGGTTCCCAGCATATAATAAACTCGTTGGTTAAAGAAAAACTCTGAAAAAGAAAAAAAAAAGAAGTAATCACAGACATGTATAATCACTCGGCGAGTATATCCACAGGTACACGTCATGCCCACGTTTTTTTTTTGTTTTTTTTTTTTAATTATTATTAGCCCTTAGGCGGAGCGAAGGGCCGTGAAAAATTGTGGTAAACTGCTCAGTGTGCTCAGCCCACGGTATTCTTTAGTAAAAGGAGAAAGAATAGTGTGCCATATGAGCTGGATACACAGCTGAATTCATGCCCACGTTTTTGAAAACGGATGCAATAACAATTGCGCGCTCGGGTGGGTATGGCTACGGGGAACGGTTTCGCCCCGAAAGGCTTGAGGCGGAGTTGGGAAGGGAGCGGGGGCGGGGATCCGTAACTATGGCCACCAGCCTTAGGGGGCCTATGGGCCGTACTGCCACGGTCCAGGGGACGTTGTCCCGCTAGATGACCGCCCGGGGGCAAGGTCCCACTTGCGCAAATTATGAGATTTCGGCCGTCCATCTTTGCTATCTACGGTCAGTATCTCTTAATTGGTGCAAGTGGGACCTAGCCCCGCACGTCGTCCAAGTCATCTAGCGGTCCGTTTTTAATAAAAAAAGGCAATAGAGACTATCTTTGCTTTTTCTTACAACAAAAAAGCAGAAGGAAATCCTTTCTCTCGAATACTACTCCCCCTACCCTCGCCACTGTCTCGTGTTTTCGAGATAGCTAGCTCAACGACCCTCTTGGTCCCCCAAAAGGCGTTTTTCAAGAGAAACTGTACGAGCCTCCTTCCGTTTGCCATTTTGTACAAAAAGGATTCTGGCAACTCACTCTTCATTTTCATTTTCTGCTGTGGAATGGAAGTGCCCGTATGCCACTCCAATTGTGAAAAAAGAAAAACCAGAACAATTGTATTCGTGCCATTTATAAATGCATTTCTCATTTGAAATTGAATTAGAATGATTTTTTTTAGCCGTCGCACCGTTGAGCTGCCTCAACTAAACGGTGCAAGTGGGACAAGGTCCCGGGTGGCCAGCCCGTGCAAGGATCAGGGAAGGTCCTAGGGGAAAAAAAAAAAAAAAAAACTATGTTATGCAGAAAATTAAACTGAACAACTT